GACAGACAGATAGAAAGACAAAAAGACAGACAGAAAGACAGATTCCACCAAAGAAATATATATCAGGAAAAGAAAAACTTTTAGGAAAAGGAGCCAGCTTTCCATTGAAGAACTGCTAGCAGGGCCAGCAGTTGTGCTGCAGACAGTTGGTTAGATAATGTAATAAGATACATGGGTGATGAGAACAGTCAATTTCGAAGGGAAGTGATTGCTAGGGCATGTGTTGTAGCAATAATGGTCAGAAAATGAGTTTGGAACAGATACAGCATGACATTCTTGCTTTGCTGCCCTCTTGACCTGGAGGAGGCCAAAAGGAAGTGCTGTCCCTGATGAGACAGTGGGGAAGGACGCATGTGGGTTACACATCAGAATGCATTTGAAACTAAGGCACACAGTAGCAAGTGACAGGGGGCCCAAAAGAGACACAGCAGAGATGGAGAGACCCTGGAGCTGGAGAGCAGTAAGAATGTGGGAGAGACAGACATGAGTAGGGTAGCAGTGCCTAAAAAGGGATCTTCATGGAGAGAAGCAAGAATTTAGGAGATAAATGCCCCACAGCAAACCTAAACCCTCTGGGAAGCACCAGGAGAAATGGATCTTTCTAGATTTATTAAAAACTGAGATAAACTCCACACACTCAGCCCAACCTTACTCCAACAAGTTCAAGTTTCCAGGGAGGCAAGCAGCCCAGCAATTAAACTTAGGTTCAGATTCTGGTTCTACCAACAACCAATATGCAAAAATGTGGCCCTGGAGAAGAATTTATGACTTTGCTTGTTTCCTTACCTTGAAGCAGATGTTCTCAGGATTCAGTGTGCATGTGAATCAAATGAGAAGCTTGCTCTAAAGCACATATTATTGGATTCCACTAATTCAGCAGGGTCCAGGAGTCTCCTTTCACACAGAATCTTGGACAATTATGGGGCTGAGCACACGCTGACAATCATTCCCTTCCTGTTCCGTTTCACAGTGAGTTCAGTGCAGTTCATCTGAAGATCACATACTTTCCATGTTGCCTTCATGGTTTCTCTCACATGAGAAACCCAAAATATAAAAAGCAAAATAAAAGATTAAATAGTAGAAGCTAGGGAGATTGATCTTTCTCACATGGGAAGAAAATAAAGATGAGGAGATGGAGAAGGAATTAAGGTGTGTTGTGTCCATGTACCACCTCCCCACAAGGAATGTGAACAGCATTTACTGCAAACATGTACCAATAAAAATAAATGACTTAACCACTCCCACCCCTCAACTGTAGCCTGGACAAACTTCACACTCTTCTTTCAGAAGAGTACAGTGTAGAAAGAGGGAAGAAGATGGAAAGCACTTGACAATGAAGTAGTTTGGCCAAGACTACATCAACTACATGGCCAACTTTAGTATCAGTAGAGCTAAGCCAGGCTGGTCCGTACCACTGATGTGATTCCATCCCCAAAATCATACTCCCCATCTGATCCTGAGATGAGCAGACAAACCTGACCTCAGGGACATTTTACAAGTGCCCAACCAACATATCTCAAAAAATATCAAAGCTAAAAGCCTAATAAACTGTCCCAGTCAGGAGGAATCCAAGCAGATGTGACATGTGGTATCCCAGATAGGATGCTGAAACAGAAAAGGAATATTAAGTTTAAGAAAATGAGGGGCCAGGGAGATAGCTCAGTGGAATAAGCACTTCCCTGGCAAGCGCAAGGGCCTGAGTTCAATCCCTGGTTCCACCAAAAAGAAAAGAAAATGAATAAAGTACAGGCTATGAATAATAATGAATCTATTGGAGAATTTATTATGACAAATGTGCCTTTTGAATGCAATTAACATGCAGTTCACAACAGGGGACAGGAGATGTGGGGTATGTAAGACTCTCTGACTATGTTCATAACATTTCTAAAACTATTCCAAAGCTAAATCTTGGATTTCTTAAAAGGAAAATAACCTTCCTTTGTAAATCTGTGTTAATTTTCCTCTGTAGCTGCACTTTCCCCAAGATAATACTGAGATTGATTTATAACCTGCACAAGATTCTCTACTAGTTAGAGGTCAGAAACTATTGCCAGGAATGTTGTACTTCTCAGGTATTTGGGTCACACCCAAAACCCTAGAACTATGATGATAAATCTTCCACCTTTGCAGGAGGCAGTTGATTTTCATGGATCGGCATGGAACCCAATTTTGTTCTTTTTTTTTCAACAGTCCAGAGTTTTCTCCTTGGCTTATGAGGAAATATTTTCATGGCACTAAGCTGCTACCATGGCAACTTGCATAAACCAAACTTGATGAGACTCCACTTATTGATGGAAGAAGCCTTGGTGGTCAACAAAGCCATTCCTGTTATATCACACATGCAACGTACAGCCCTGGGCACAAGCCCGCTGTCACCGTGTGTGATCCCTGTGGGTGTACCTGGATCCTGCGTCAGTGCATCCTATCTGATTCCATTACAAAAGCAACCTAGTGAGGGCATGTTGCATTGTTCTGTTTAACAGGGAGAACCTGGAGATCCGGGAGAAAAAGGAGCTGTTGGTTTTCCTGGTCCTCGAGGCTTGCCGGTTTGTGTTTCATCACTACTTTGATCTGGCCTTTGCCATCTTTTCGATCACCAGACCTCTGCTCTATATCTCTGAGGAATCCTCTTATAAGTATAAAGACACCCTCTCAATTTAGCTTCCTAGAACTGTAGAAACTGGAAAGCATACCCTCATCATCCCCTTAGACCATGTCTTTGGCAAGGTTTTACAAGGTAAATGTTGCCCAGCTGCCACACCGCACAGCCAGGTTGCTCTTGCAGCCAAATGGTGACATAGCAAACCTGTCTTTCGCATCCTTGTAGCCCTTCTGACCCTGCCTCCCAGCAGGGCCTTCTCACCAGACACCCATCCCATCCCAAGGCCCTTTCCTCAGGGCTTCTGCAAGGGCCAGGCAGTAGCCAGTCCCAGGCATTTCAGAGTTCTTGGTTTTGCCTAGAAAAGTGAAAATGGAGTAGAGACAAGGTAAGAGATTACAAATGTTATCTGGCAGAGACAACGCTACTGCCTTCATTCACTGAGCGATTACCCAGTGCTTGATTTTTTCTGCGTTAGTCTCCAGAGCAATGCTAACAGATGTAATTATTATAATTATTGTTCCCATTCTACAGATGCATTTAGTATCACTCTTGTAAAGTGTCAGTGGCCTGCTCAAAGAAGGAATTTTGCTTCCTAGTAGTCCTAATGAAAACAAAACCTTGGCCATTTTGTCCTCTTGTGACTAAGCCTGAGTCTCCAAGTGGTCTGGGAAGTTTGTAATTAATTGCTTTGTTCAAAGGGTGATGATGGCAGTCCGGGTTATGGGATCATGGGACAGAAAGGAGCAAAGGTAAGCCTACTGGAAGTTGGACTTCTTTTTTTTAAATTGCTTGTCTCATCTTATGCACCTTAAATGTACTTTATACCTGGATAGCATCATATGGGAAATGTGGTAGGGGGAAAAGGAGGGAGGATTTCAGAAGCAAGCAGAAACCGAGACTTGAAAACGACTTCTCTGTATTTTGCAGTGCTGTGGGTTAGGACCTTTCCTGTTGCAGCCTGAATGTTCTTCTCATCTTAGCTAGTCACTTAAATTTACTCAAGGAGCTGTTCCTCAACTTGTGCTCCAGTTAGCCATTCATGAGAGATTTTACAGGATTTTTCCAAATGCAGTGGGGCAGAGAGTAATTTAAAAATAAAACTGCATTCAGAACAATTGTTTATATTGGCACAGGGTGTCTAAAAGCCTAGATGGAAGAAAGATAAATTTGCTAAAGCTGGTGATTTCTATATATAGTACCAATAATAATCAGTGAAAAAAGTGATAAAAATAAAATAAAAGTTATAATTAAATATAGTGAAGGGTATCCTTTCTGAAAAAAATATTTGAAACCTATGACAAGAATCTGAGATAGGAGACTTCAATAAGGGGAGAAACATGTCAAGTTTCTGTTATAAAGTCTAAAATATGATAAAGGATTAATCTAATTCCAAGTGGGATGCCAGCAGGCATGATGCAGGAAGCTATCTGAAAGAAAACAATAAAAATAAAAGCTGAAAGTTTTTGAAAAATAAAACTAAAGAGTAAAATGCTCATTAGAATACAGAATGATTAAAATTGACACTTGTTAGCCATAAAAGAAATACGAAATAGCCTGTGGCACTGTGTACCAGCCGGCTTACAAAGTGAGTGTGTGACTTATAGTTGTGCTTGAAATTTTTATGAGGGAATTTCAAGGGATAAGAATATATTTAGCATAACATTGCAATTGTACTGAAATGTATCTTAAAAAGCTAAAAGGTATATGACAAAATATGTACTGTAGTTTGGCGTAGTAAGACCTGAGTGATTTCTCTTTTTATCCTTCTGTATGTTTGAAAAGTTCTTTTAATAACCAGGAAATAAACTGTTTTGTAGAATAGTAATTAGAGGTCAGGAAGAAAGGAAGAGGATGGTATGTAAAAGGAAACCAGATTTGGGTTTTTTTGGAAACCAGATTTGATCACAGATGCTAGATCCATGGGCTGAAATATCATACTGAACCCTATTAATGTGCATACAATTCATACATGTTAATTAAAAATAAAAATTTAAAAAGAAACTTTATAACTAAGCTATGTATTTTCTTTTTTCCAGTAATTTTATTGATGAAAAAATAGCAATGAGACAGTATCAAATCAAATTGGTAGGACAGTTTCAATAATTAACACATTGCATACATTCTTCCTAGTGGTTAATTGCTGTACAACATGCGGACATGATATACTAACACCATTAGAACAAATCACTCTATTCATTAAGAGAATGTAACTATATATCTATCCCAACCACTTTGAATACACAGATACAAAATGGACATTCATC